GAGTATGTCCGAAATTAAAGGTTTCTTTATGTTTAAAAAAAAGATATAAGCTATTTTATTTTCTGATAGTTTTACTCCATAAATAAAGATTACATTAAAAAAAAAAGTATACATATTATTATACAAAAGTATTTTATTTCCTTGTTTGTTGTGTATAATACATAACCAGATTTTGACCAAAGCAGAAATGAACAAAGAGAAGAAATAACTAAATAGCATAGGTAGGAGAAATTGACGTTCTTATATAAGTGGCGAAATCATTTCTAGAAGGTTATAAAACTGTCTTCATCCATCCAGAGAAAATTAATCACGTCCTTGGATTACAGGCCATTTAGTACGTTTATGTGGCTTAATTTTTATCTCTTTTGGAGCCATTTTTTCACTCAGCAACTTCTCTTTTTCTATTTTCGAATAAATTAACCGAGAGGGCTAATGCCAAACCAACACGTTGGTGTTTTAAAAGAATTGAAACTATTTTGAAGAAATCTACCGCATATGCGTTCCGCTCCAAGTCCGAACGCGTACTGCTAGGCAGGCCCGTGTGTAGGGTCTGCCCCGATATAAGCCCCGATTTCTTTCCACCCTAGATCGCCACCGATATCGTGTCGTATGTAGCCCGCTTTAGTCAGTCTTTGACAAATATAGACCAATAGACACAGTATGGAGTGTACCTCTATACTCCATGAAACACAGGTAATCACCACCTTTAATATAGGTATAAATTCAAAGAGAGATGGCGCTGTTAACATCAATCCTAAAAATAATAGAAAATTTCGACGCAATTGATACATTATATAAAACATACCAGAACTATTAAATCAGTGCCTGCTAAGCCAATCACTCCTACAGTAGCGTAGGCAAAGAAGAAATTTCAATCCTATACGAAACGAAACCAACGTAATGTGGGCTAATTATCTTACGCAAGCCACATGTCGCTAGTGGACATTGAGGTGAAGTTGTTTGTTACACAATGTCATTTAACCTATCACTCACTGCGCCCGCCATAACAAAAAACAGCTTTGTACCGAGGCGTCCGTCGTCACCTCAGCTGGCGGCACTTGTTTTAAATATTTATGTTTCTCACGACCTTTCATTTATGTTTAAAGAGGTTTTAGTTACAGTTATTTAAAGCCGATCAGATTTTCGATAAGTAGAAACAATAACCATAACATATAAATGTTTATTTTATTTTGTACAGCTCTTTGTTTCTAACGGATCTTGATAAAGTGTACTTACTGACGATAAATTTTATTTTAGAATGAAATATTGTAAATTTATATTTTATTTTTATATCCTTACAATCAATACAATATATTCTTCCGAAATTATGCATGTAATAATTATAATAATTCTACTTTTTCACTTGCAAACATTTGCTAAAAATTCGACAATAGACAGTTTGCGCGCGCTTATTAAACTCATTTTCAAAACCTTTTTGTGTATATATTTTATATCGTCTTCCTTTATTTTTCTTATACAATCATATAGATATAACATTTAGCAATTACCAGTAAAAGTATTTACTATGGTATTCCAATAAGAAATATACTATTATTATCTTATTAAAATCTTATTAGAAATCTTGACCGTTACGAATTGTTCGCTTAGAGGTTTTTTATTTCTTAAATATTATTCATAAAAAGTTACTGTTGTTGTAACTTAAATCATTCAAAAACATTACGTAGTAAAGATAAATAACATTACTTACAGTTTTTTTTTTTGAAAGAAAATCCAACTAAAATCACAATCACAAAACTTCAACGATTACGCAACCAACCGCACCGGCACGCAAAAGCGAATGGCTGTTATATTTGATGATGTCTATGTAACCGAGTGAATATGCTACACAATATTCTTTAGTTCGTTCAGAATCGAATGAAATAGTGTTCAATCGAAAATATACTGTATATTTATATCAATTAATGACGAAAATGCAGCACGTAATGCGGACATGTATACATGTCCTCTGTACTTAGCGGTCACAAAACTTGGACCTGTCAACATGTCCACGGTATCTTAGGGGTTGATAATTTAGTTTTTAATAAAAGTATCAGTTTCTAGAGTATTATATATTAATACACAAAACAATGCATCTGTGGTTTGTTCTTTAATTGTTTGCACATTTTTAACATTTTTTTTTGATTTTTCTATTTTAATGAATATCTGTGGTTTGGTTTATTTATTCTTAATCTAATTAATACAAAATATCACTAATGGTACAGATAGAAACATTATCCTTTACAATTTTCGAACAAATTAACTTCAGCACTATGGAGTGTAGAAGCAAGGAGTACCAACTCCCATAGTAGAATAGTTGAATAGCAGTAGAATAGCAGTAAATAACAGGTCAAAAACTCTCCACAACAGCGCTAGAGTAGCTACTGGGATGAAATGAACTTAGCAGTTGTCGACGATTTAAGTGTGCTGCTAAACTGCTCAGTAGCTCTAAAATCTAAAATAATTTTATTTAGTAAATATAACCTCGAAAAAGTCGTCTATCCCACTAATATTTTTCGGCACGTTCTTTAAAATTTAGCCCGTAGCTATAATGGCGCCACCCTTATTTAACGGTTTTCTATGGACACTTTGTAATACACAGCCTGTACTCCTTACTTCTACACTCCATATACTCCAGGTTTAACAATAACATTGGGACTTCAGTCACTTCAGTCCCCCGTGACCCGTGATCGTGGTTTAGATAGATATTGGCACAGAATACTTTTTTATATAGGGAAGATATTGGTGACCTCAACCATATTTTCTTCTCGTGTCCTTAATATGATCATACTTCATTATTTAAAACTAGTAAAACTTAAAATACCTCTTCATACAGAAATTTATTCTCATTAAATTATTTAAAAAAAGTAATGGTCGCCACACACGGTCAGTTCAACTGATTATTCCAACCATAGAATATTATTTATACAACTAATTAGTTCAAACTAGGACTGTTGATATTTTTTAAAATATCGGATTTTCGACATATCGATAAATAAATTTATAAATAAAACTCCGATATTGATATGTTTATAATTATCGATGTTTCGAAAATCTGATATTTTAATAAATATCAACAGTCCTAGTTTGAACTTATCTGTTCGAATGATCAGTTGAACTGACCGTATGTGTCGTCCATAAGAATCTTTTAATTGCCTTACGGAATATTTAGATTCAAATAATAAGTTATAAAATTGTATTCATTATTTAGCATTCAATAGTCTTTATATAGTATTATTTAATATTTAAAATGTGGTAATGAGTTCATTTTTATTTTTATTCTCCTTCATTTATTTAATAAACTTCAGTACAAGTAACTTCATGCTTCATTAGTTCTTCACATTATGATATAGTTTTTTAATCACAATCATTGCTGTTTTGCTTTATCTTGTTCGTCATTTTATTATCAAGTATTATTAATTGACTGGATGTTGGCAGTAATTGTTACGGTCCCCACACACGATCAGTTAAAACAATCAGTTAAACCGACGTACGTCCAAAAACTGAACGTGAGTGTGGAATCTTAAGTTGAAATTTTTAACTGATGGCACTCCACGGTGTTTTCCGGGTGCACCGTAATCCGCTGGCTTCAGTTCGTTTTAATTACTGGTAAGTACCTACTTTCTTAGTAGCTACTTACATTATTTCTATGCTATTTACATTTTTTATTATTTTATATTTTTAGAATTGCGTTTGACGGAGGATGAAGACTAAGGTGACTGTGATAATGTCACCTTCGTTATGATTGATTCAGAAGGTGGGTAAAAGATCTTAGTGATGCTCCGTAGAACCATTGTGTTCTTTTTAATTTCATATTATTGAATGAATGTTTCTGCGGGTATAGCATTGCATTTAAATTTGGGTTTGATAAAGACTATTTTTATAAAACATGTCTTTCAACTTAGATCATTTTTAAGTTGCTTCTATAATAATAGACAACACAGTTTGATTAGTCGTTTTCGTTCATTTTTATTGTTTGCTTTCGCCGAAATGAAGTGAAAATTCGATGACAATGACAATTGAAATAATACTATTTTTTACGGAATTTATCACGTATATTTAACTTTTTAAATACCCGACGTTTCGAGAGCTTTACAGCACCCATGGCCACGGGGGGGGGGGGCTGAGATGTTCAACGTCCAAATGTCAAGTTAACCGCGGTTACCATAGATTAAAATTTAACTTTTGTTCCGATCTACATAGTGTGAACTTATGGTATTATGAAGTCTTGCAGTTGTATGCTTGGGTTGGGATTTAATTTTATTTATTATAGGATCCCAAGCAGATGGTAGCTCCCAGCCATCTTCTCAATTGAAATTAGAATGTTTTTTGATTTTATCAGCCTCGCGAATCATCCTTGGAAGGAATCGGTGTTCTTTAGCGAGGATTTGTGATCTATCGAATCTGATGTAGTGACGGGGGCGATCCTGTACGTGTTCACAGACTGCAGACTTCCCGGAGCGTCGATTCTTCATATCATATATATGTTCTTTAACGCGGGTTTTAATTGATCTTTTAGTTTGTCCTATCTAGGAGAGACCACATTCACAATCAAGCTTATACACTCCTGCATCTTGCAGAGGGACGTTACACTTGACTGATGGTAAAAACTAACCAATCTTCTTCGGCGGCTTGAAGTATGTTTTGATGGAAGCGCGCTTCAAGATGTAGCCAATCTTGTCAATGACTCCTCTAACATATGATAGTACAGCAGGTACACGCTTGACTGTGGCCGGCTTCACTCGTTCACTGTGACGTAGGCGCGGGACCCGAAGCTTGTAATTTAAAATGCGATCTAGTAGATTTCAGTAGATTTTCGCAGTGTCTTTGGTAGATTCCCTTATTAGAAAGTGGTCACGCTGAGTAGTACTCACAGAGTACTCACAGATCACTATATACTAGAGACTACTTTTTATATAGGGAAGTAGCACTTCTATACTCCATAAATATTCTGGGGGAAATTAGACTAGTATATAGTGATCTGTGGAGGAAATAAAAATAAAATGACAATACTTACAATTACAAACAAAACTCATAATAACATTCAAACGAGCCTAATAACTTTTGGTAATCCCCACAGTTGTGATGGAAAAGATATAATTATTTGTATTACTGGAAATCCTGGTTTTGTTGAGTTTTACTTAGAATTCGGTCAGGAACTTCATACGAAAACTGGTTTACCAGTTTGTGTTATCGGTAAGCGCTAGAATTCTCTTATTATAAAATAATAATTTTAAGTATTTTAGTGTTACATACTATTAAATATATATTTTTTTTTGTTTTTAGGACATGCTGGTCATGACAATGTATCTGATATACAATCCAGTAAATTACAAGGCCAAGAACATTTGTTTAACTTAAAAGGTCAATTAAAGCATAAATTGGACCTTCTTGACAATAATATAGACAATAAGAGCAAATTACATTTCGTTGGACATTCCATTGGTTCCTGGTTTGTCATAGAATTATTACAGAATTATGACCATTTGTTTAAAAAGACATTATCAATTAATTTACTATTTCCTACTATTCAAGGAATGGCAAAATCTAAAAATGGGATGTGGTTGAATAATTATGTGAGAAAGATTCATAGTTTGGTGTTATTCTTAATTAAATTAATATGTATTTTGCCTCAAACAATTTGTTTATTTTTGATAAATATGTATCTTAGGCTTTGTAGTTTGCCATCACACTATGATAAAAGAGTTTTAAAATATCTTAATCCACATATTTTTGAAAAAGTTTTATTTCTTGCATATGATGAAATGGATAACATAACAACATTAAATAAAGATGGTGTAGACAAGGTTAAGCATTTAACTAATATAATATATTCTGTTGATGATGGATGGGCTCCTTTAAATTTTATGAAAGATTTAATGATTTTCCAACCTTATCTTCAAATGATGGAAGTAAACACAGATCATGCTTTTGTTTTTAAATCATCAGAATTTATTGCTTTTATAGCATCTGATTTTATAAAACCCAAAATTTCAGCAGGTATGTAATAATAGATTGTTATTCATTTAAAGAAAAGTTTAGCTGCTCTCACTAGAGAAAAGTTTTATTTCAATTTTTAGGTATTCTATTATTAGGTAACTCTAGACCTCAAATTTTATTTATATTGAAATTTGACATTTGTTTTGCTTAGTTATGGTATTTTTACATCTCTGTATGCTTAACATTTATACCACTGCTGGTAATAAGACCTCATAAAACCTTTAAAAACTCCAAACTCAACACAGTCTACAAACTGTTTCTTGAGAGGCATTACCAGTTAGTTAGTCAGTTAGCACACATTTACTATACACTGCATTTACTATATTATCCAAAATTGGAAAAAATTATGATGATAACTAGAGGTGGTAGGTATTCGGTATTCGGCATATTCGGCAGATTTACCGAATATTCGGCTAAATCACCGAACATTCGTTAAAGTGGTACTTAAAGAGTACACTGTATTGAAATGTACGAATTGAGTAATGCCATGTCTTTCATAATTTTGCTGTTGAAAGTATATTTTATTTATGGTTTAAATCTACTTATATAGCGTTATGTTTATGAGGCACTGTCCAATTATAGCAAATAGAAAGCTTGATAAAATTTTGTTTGGAATCAAAGAAAGAAACATTACATTACAGTCATCAGTTTCTCTAAAATAGGTCCAAATAGTAGATCTCCTGCCACTCATTTTCATCATATACTTATCAATTTTCACTAAGAATAACACAAAGAATTACTTTCTTTTCTCAAAAAATAGTCAAAACATAAGCATGTACTGGCAATTTGCTTTAGATGATGCAATAACATGTCTGGTGTGGCGGGGGAGCGAGGAGCAGGGTTCGGTGCTAATCCCGCGCGCTTTACGGTAACAAGTTTCGACATAAATTGGTTAGGTAACGAGGTAATCCTGCCGAATAATGTTCGACCGAATATTCAGTTCGGTAAAAATTTTACCCATCGTTCGGCCAAATATTCATATTCGGTGAAATCCATATTCGGCCCATCCCTAATGATAACCTTGATTTTTGAACTTATTTAACAGCCCGATTTTAAAGTAACTGTTCTGTTAGGTATGATTTTTTGTTAATATTATTTTTTTTCCCTTTTATAGGGCAAATTTTTGTTTGTTGAATCTGAATTTGTTTAGGTGTATAGGGACTGGAATTATGTGTTATTCACTAGCTGATTTATTCGGGTTTGGCTGTAGGGGGTGGTTCCTTATAAAACCAAGACCATTTGGGGAAACTTTTTGGTAGTTTTGTTTGAAACTGTGACTGTTTAGGGCAAAAATTGTAAATAAAACAAAATCATAATTAAATTATTTATATTTGAAATAACAATATTTTTGGCATTTTTTTAATCTTAAAAATATTAAATAATTAAACAAAATGAGTAAGTGTTTTATTAATACAAAAATTACACCTTTGTGTCATAAAACTAACAGACATATGTTTTAAATAATCTATACATATTATGAAACAGCAACGAAAGAAAAGAAGAAAAGCTGTACATTGAGTATTTTCGAGAAAAATAAGTGGCTTTTGTTAGAAAAACGTAACTGACGACAAAAAGTGACTAGAATTTTTGTATGTTTGTCTGTGTGTATGGTACGGCTTCACGCCAAAACTACTGGATAGATTGAATTGAAATTCAGCAAAAATGTACTTTGTAAACCAAGGAAGGCTTTAGGCTACATATTATCACGCAGCTGTATGTTATAGGAGGTAAGCAGTATTGATTTTAAAAGGTTTTTCTTCGTAATTGAATGCACAAAATAATTGAATGCACAAAATGACATGTTATTAGTTAAAATAAAAATAAAAATAAAAATTTAACTCTGGGAACATAATAATCACGCTATTTTTATAAAGGAGCAGGGCAGTAATATTATAAATTGCAAGGGAACAGCTGTTTAACAATATGTTAACGGGGAATTTAGCGGTAAGGTCAGGCGACACGTTAAATGGTGCGATTTTAAATCCCATAATATTGTTTTGAAAAATCGTAATTTTTGTACTTTTTATGTGCATTAGGAAATCTGAGAACTTTACATGTCCTATCTAATTGTATGGAGAGTTTCACACCAATATTACTAAACAGATTGATTGTTGGTACAAGTTACAATATCATGAAAGTCAAGTCAAACTTTTGGTTCTAAGTTAAATATTACCAAGCATATTTGATGCAGGTAATTGATTTAAGTATGTAATTCTTAGTTTTGTTCCTTGCTGCTGTTACCATATTTTTTTAATGCAAAATAATGTACTTGTCTATTAAATTAACGACAATTTAGTTTTAATTCATAATTTAATTAATTCATTTGGGTAAATAATATGTAGTTTCCGTTTTCTAACTAGATGGCGTTGGCGTTGAGTTAGATCGCGTTAGATGCCGATGGGCCGCTCTCATCCTATAGAAACGGGGGTTACCTTTGTTGTCAGTGTTGGTTGATGTGTTTAATTTTCCTGCGAATAATAATTATTTTTCTACTTACTAGCGATTCTTACGTACTTATTCGATTACTTTTCATTGTGTTAAATATCGTTAGTATCGGATTAAGAAGGAATTTTAGCTATGTCTTTTAGAAAAAGATCAATTTGTCTCGTAACTCAAGGGTTTCTAAGACGCGCAGGTTAGTTAGTAGTAGCAGTAGTTTCTCTCGAACCCACGTAGAGCGTGAACAACGGCTAGGTGCTAACCGTGAGCGTAATGCACTAAGTTTGTCCGCAGAAACTAGCACGCAGCGTCATTTACAACTAGAATTTAAACGAGTCCGCACTACTGCTTCTCGATCTCAGCTAAGTGTGGAACAACGAGAAATGCGTTTAGCTATCGACCGGGATCGTCATTCTTTGTCTCGCGCATTCGAAACGGTTACACAGAGTGATCAGAGGTTGAGTCTTCAGAATATCCGCTCTGAGACTGCTCGATCACTTGAGAGCAGTCAGGAGCGTGAGATACGACTTGCGCGTGACCGAAAATGTGGGCAAAGCCAAGGGTACAGCTATAGTTTATAAATAATTTTTTTAAAGTGATTGCAATATTATTAATTCAGTGTACCCTTGGGATCGGGTGCAATCCGCACCGGATTGGTGAAATATACGGGATGAAAAGTTTTTTGTTGTATAGGTGTTAAGTCTAGGCAACATATAGGCTATAATTTATTTTGGAAAATGGAACACCTGATGCAGAACCGCAACAACAGACCAGCTAAAGTATAAGAGATATAAAAATAGTGCCATAGCAAAAAATATTCCACGTGAAGAGTATTTTCTGCTGTGAGAATAAATTTGAAGATCTGGAACACCTGTTGTGGAACTCCAAAGCCCACCGACATTTTAACATATATAGGAATGACGTCTTAGCAAAAGTTGTTTAGTCTGATGGGAATTTCCTGTTGACTTACAAAAATGAAAGATCTGGAACGTCTCGAATCGTCTCGCGCATCACGTTATTTTCCCGTCCCCGGGCTCTTAGAATTCGACAGCAGACGTTTCAGATCTTCGATTTTGACGACCCCGTTGTCGCTGGCATAAACAACATCATCCGCGTACGAAGTCGCGGGCAGCATCTAGTATAGAATATAAAAACTCACAATCTTGATAACTATCTTATAGTAAAAAAGATAAGTCTTAGTTTTAGGAAACTGTAACAGCATAATCTGTTCTGCAGCTGCTAATCTGCCTGATATGAGATTCAAAGATCATCTTCAGGGTTTGAGTCCCTTCAATCTTCGATTTTTTTTTCAGCTTGGACGTCATCTTTGCCCTCATTCAAACTGACTAGCTGATTGTAAGGCATGTTCTCTAAGTTGAATACTGGTATAAACATCTAAAATAAACAGAAAATACATAATACTGTAACAATTGTATGTAACACACAAATCTCACCAATTTTCATACCTGTTAAGATTAATTCAGACGTTGACGTACACATGGCGTTGTACAGTTTTGATTTATGTCAAGATAAGTGTTAAGATTAGTTCAGAGTTCAGACGACGACCTACAGATGGCGTTGTACAAATTTAAACCGCGGTATCAAGTGGTTTCAAGCCAACATTTAAGGCCATTAATTTAATTTAAACCTTTGTATTACTCTAAGTTCGTGGGTTTTATTTAAACTACCTATACCTCGAGTGTGTAACAAAGTGAAAGTACCACAAGGGAGCGACTATAGTGTTTACATGGTCCTTCATTGCCGGACACCAGTGGCGTGTCTAGGATTCTCCGTCGCTATGGGCAGTGGATCCCTGTCGCAAACGTGATGAACTACAGTACAGGGGTCAATTGGTTGTGACCTCGGACGGCGCCTCGCTGCAGTGACGTCAGTGCGCGTCAGGATACGTCATCACGGAGCGGAGCCACAGCGGTTGCAGTAGGCAGAAATTACGTACGGCGGTACATCAAGGCGAGCAAGTACAAGTGAGGCAAATTGTGTCAGTATGGTGAAAGTAGTAATTTTGAATCTTATTACCGGAAAGACATTAACTTCAAAAAATTTCGTAATCATTATTTGCACTTTAAAATTAAATTAAATTCAACTTAGAGTAAATTTGCATGATTAGTTAAGACAGAATAATTTCGATAAAAAGCTAATACGGGGAACCTATGCCCGATTTTTAGGAGACATTGTAAATTTTAAAGACAGAAAATTTTTTGTACTTTTAAACTAAGAAAAGATTCACTATTTTACAACTTAGAAAATTTTTGTGTTTTTACTTGAAAATTTTTGCTGTTTTGAATTTACAAATTTGTAATTTTGTTTGTTTACTTTTAAAAGTTCTTGATTATTGACGTAAAAATGGAAGCATTGTTAAACTTTCAAATTGAACTATATAAGCGCATTATTAAGGCGCAAAATAACTTCAAAAAGAGCCCAAAAGATCGAATTACTAAACAGTATTTAGAGGGAAGATTAGAATTAATCGAGCAAACGTGGTTCGAATTTTTATCTGGTCATAAAGAGTTAAAGCGTAATTCAGATCAAAAATTATTACTAATTATGT